ACACATTCGGCACGATTTGACTCATCGGTGGGCTATGCTAGATTTTAACGAGATAATTGTATAGAAAAACACCTTCTTTTTCTACAGATTAAACATAATGTGTTATCTGCTCTCTCTTCAATATTTGATTTGAGTTCTTTATTCCATAGCATGATACTTGTTATTAACATAATCAAGACAAAAAAATTTGTCACAATCAAAATAGAAGGTTTTTTTTACTTTCTCTACAGCCGTATAGTTCGTTTCTCTTGACTGTTGTGCTTTTTCCTTTGCATAGTAACCAGTACAGTGTCTGTCAACATTGCACATAGATTCTTTTTTGTTTTCGAACTTGTGATCAGCGAGTTTGTACTTCGAATAGTCTGTTCATTTTTATCTCGAACTAGAATTCATCTGTTCGAATGGCATGTCAAACAGTAAAGGTTTGCAGAAAAAATTTTGCGAGAAACTCTACAATCGTCACTTCGCTCCGTATGACGCTACAAATAGATATGAGAAAACATAAAAGAAAAAGACCTATGATTGGATTTGTCGAACGAGGAATGTATATACGAAAATAAATCTGTAGAGATACTTACGAATCATGTCGAATGTATGAATAAATAAAATATCTATTAAAGTTCATTTTTAATTATTTCTATAGGAATAACATTAGAATCGAATGGTGAAACAAAACATAAATATAAACCATGTGATCTTCATTTTCCATCCGTAGCTGATCGTCTTCAATGGAATCAATTATTAATTATAGATTGGTTAGATATTAATCCACGTTCACAAGAATATTCTTTTCTTAAAGAACTTGGCGTACGAGAAGTACCAGATTTACATAAACTTATCTCTCGAATTGATCAAGAACATAATTATGGAACAAAAATAAAAGACGAATATAAATTACCTAATGCACTTATTTTTTTTGCCGAAAATTTTCAACAATATTATTCTAAAGTATGGAAAAATGCAAATATTAAAATACCATTTCTTCCATCTATTCTACCCGATATAAATCAATCAACAGAAGTTATATTAACAACATCTGATATTGTTTTTAAAGGTCAGTTTTTTCTCCTTTTTATTATTATTTTTCAATAAAAAATCTATTTTATTTTAAATTAGAATCAGGACCATTATGTCCATCATTACTTCCTGAAGTACTTCGATGTTTTTCAAAATATTTTGATATTAGTTTACTTGGTGTTAAACAACGTCCTTTATTATCAATAGCATTTGATATTTTAATGGAAAAAAGAAATCAATTATTAAATGTTGAATCGGCTTCAATCTATTTTTCTTATTTCAATAAATTAGATGGTCTTAATAGAACATTTATTGAAAGAATATCTAATCGAGCATTTATTCCTTTACCAGGTTTTTTTTTGTTTTTCTTCTTTCTAATTAATAATCATATATAAATTTAATATATAATTCAGGTAGTAATATTTATTTAAAACCATCTCAAGTATTTATTCGATCAAAAAATTCATTTACTAATGAAATATCTTCAAATAATGATCTAAACATTACAGATGATATGACAACACATGGTCTTATTGATTATATAGATTATGGTTATCAAGCAAATTCTTTTCTTCTTAATATTGGTGTTCTATCTTATCCATCAGCTGAAAATCTTGCTGATTTATTAATTGAACGACAAGCATCTTTTTTTGCTCAAATAAAAGATAATACAAATGATATGATATCAATTAAATTACGTGTTTATACAAATTGTTTGAAACAATTAGCTGCTATATCAAATATTACAAAATATTTAAATGTTGAACCATTACGAAGTCGTTTAATTAATAAACCATGGTGTTTAGCATATCAAATAATCGAACGATCTAATGGAAATAAAGAACGAATTTTTAAAATTGCTAAACCAATAGATATTTATCTCGATGATGATCATCAATCTGCAATTGATCTTCGTCCATTATGTGCACCTGATGAACCTGAATTAACTAAATTATATGAATTATTTGGATCAAAATGGTTATCTGAAAGTGTTAAACGAACTTTAATACATAGAGGTAAATATTAGATTTTTCTTGTAGATTATTATCAATAATTTAATATATTTTCATTTCTAGGAAAGTTTTTTGTAACAGACAGAAGTAAAAATTTACACGATCTTATTCGTCATCGTTTAGACATGTTATTTGTTAATAATAGAGTAATGTTTATTATTATTAAAAAAAAATAATAATTATTTTTTTTGTATATCTAATATATTTTATTTTTCTATAGGGAGAACGATTAGATAATATTGATGAAAAATCTATTGAATTATTACGAACAAAATTCTTTATTTATGAAACTGAAGGAATTCAATGTCAATTAACATTTCAAAATCGAACAATTACACTTAATGTAAGACTTCTTTTTGTTTTTGTTTTTTTTTTTACGTTTCTATTCAAATAATATTTGATTATTTAAAGTCAACAGAATGTAGTTCATGTGCATTGGAACATGAAAAAAATAAAGTTACTTTATATATTCAAAAAGATATTTCAACTCTTGATTATATTGATATTGCTACGGAATTAACAAGATTTGTTTATAAAAAGCCACTTGATGCATTAGTTCATTCTATTAGTGATAAACTTGCTTCACCATTAGAAACACTTAAACGACGTGGAATTCCTGTTGATCGATTGTTAAAACTTGCACCACAACAATGTAAGTGTAACAAAATATTTTTTGAATTAATTAAT